TGGGGTGGGTGGGTGGGGGTGTGGGTGTGTGTGTGTGAGAGAGAGAAAGAGAGACCATGGGTACCTTGCTAACCTGCTCTCCACCTCTGTATTCCCATTAGTAAAAACAAAATAAATAAATATACATGCTTGAGCTATTTATTTGAAATTCAAAGTAAGTGGAAAATACTGTGTATCTTTGCTCAGTAGAACAAAAGGGATGACGATGCCTTATAAATTATTGGGAGGTTCAGGGAAATGGGCCTTTTCAATTGAAATTTTCTTTTATTTAGGAATTCTTAAAGGCCAGATTGGAAGTTAGCCACACTATAAGAACAGCCTTGGTTTGTAGGAAATCAAGAACTCTGGGTTTCCTCTTAGGCTATATCACTCTCTCTTGATATTAATTAGGCTGCATATATCTCAGATCAAAGGTGTTAAATCTTTGTTTTTAGTTTATGGAACAGAACTTCATGGACTACTGTCTTATGCTCATAAAATCTGAGAGCAGCACAGTGTGGATACATGTTCCTCTGCCAAGCCCCCTGCTTGCAAAATTTAGTTAGCCAGTGAAGAAACAGAAGTTTGACACCGTGATCCAAGCATGAGGGTTTATCACGCACAACACTGGCGGAGTGTCGCTTTGCTTATTTGGCAGTCTCACTGAGCCTAACCGTGGATTACTATAGATTATATAGGGTGCCAATGGGCACAGAGAAGTCATGGGGTGGGAGTTCTCGAGCCCCTGCGTAGGTTCTAGCAGCAAGACATAATGAGCACAATAAACCAATAGTCTAAAAGATTACATAATTGCTCCGCCCATGGCTCAGGTTTATATGTATGCTAATAAGCAGGTGTTATGGCTTAAGTGTCATTTTGCAGTATAGATTAAATCCTGATTTTTGGGTCCATAGAAATGACGGGTGGCATCTCCCAGGCAGGTTTGCTCGCAGGTACATTCCTCTGTGGTCTTAAAACAAAGAGAATAGTAAATAATACACAGCATTGGCAATTTGTTTATCCATCACACCCCTTTGGACTGGATTAGCATCTGTGAGGGACAGATATCATTTGGCATGCTGGCTGTCTCTTCTCCCTGAATGCTGGCTGGTATGTGGGGGGGATACACTATTATCTCCTCCTAAACTTGTCAGGCAGATTTTCAAGGCCACTTTCAAAGAGTTCTGTGTCTATAATTCACGATAAGGCCCCAACTTACTGCCCTGCACCTGGCGTTCTGCTGTCTCAACTTGTTTCATGTCTAGTTGTACAAACACGGCCTGTCTTCTGCTTATCTCTGTTCCCTTTTTAGCCATGTTTTGTTCATTGTTAGCTAGACCTGAGGCTCAGGCCAGGCCCGTGAAGTTTGGGCATATGTAAAAGATTCTTAACAGAAACTGTGGTCAAGATCTTACATACATATTATTGGGATTTTGGCCCTTCAGTTAGAATCCACAAAACCATGTGACTATGAAAGTAGCATGCATTTTCCATATAGTTTTATATATAGTACTCAGTCAGCTGCATTTAAAATGTCATATGAGCTTATGCAAAACTGAATTGAATTCACAGCACAAGAACTCGCGTGAAAATAAATATTTAAATGAGTTTACATCAATCAGACTTAACTGAATTTTAAATATGTATCCCATTGCTAGAGAAATGTAAAAATGCAATTTAGTTTCACTGCAGATGATGTTGGTGCATGTCAGTAAAATGGAGGCCTCCTCAATAACAGGTGGAGAAGGATTAAGAACAAAATTGTCCTTTCTGATCAGTGCTGTGGATCTCTGCTCTTTTGGGTGTATTTTTGTTGCATATTCTGCAACACAGCTTCCACTGATGTCAGCAGCAGGTCTTTGGTCTAAGAGGCACAGGCAACAGAGATCCTGGCTTGGGAGGGAGAATTTTGTCTAGGTCTGTAAAGAATCAACACATGTCATATTTGTGTTCTTGTGACACAATCATGAGATATTTGTAGTGTTTTGACATTTAGACTGCAAGGAAGGAAACACTTGAGTATCTTGAATGACTGTCTGCGGACTAGATCCGAGGATAAGTGGCTCTCACGTGATAGGAGGCAGACAACTGGACCTTGCAGTGGTGTGACTGTATGTCTGTCCAAGGTGGAGGAGAAGTTGAAGACTTATAAATAATACATTAAGAAAAAGTTTGCCCCTATTCCCTAAAATCTTAATGTTTCTTAGTTATGGTGTGGATTTTCTATTGTCAGCTATGCTGTCACATATAGAAATAATTCATAATAAAGGGTGATTCCTCTACCTCCTTCCCCAAGATCAGACTTATTTTATACTGGTACTTATTAATTTATTCCAGAAAATAGATTTGCAGTCCCCAAGTGTGTATTTAAATGTATAGTTTTCTTAATGTTACTCTTGTTCAATTCTAGCTGCAGTTGTCCTGATAAATTAACAAAAAAATGTCCATCAGGGGGTTGAAGAAGAAGCAACCTAAGACTTTTAAAGTGAAAGTTATAACAATGGATGCTGAAATGGAGTTCAGCTGTGAGGTAAGTTTCCTGGAGGTTGGAAGAAAGAGAACTTGCTACTAAGGTTTGACTTGAAGATTTCTGAATACAACCACAAATAGGCTTGGGAAAAATGGCAATGAATTGGGGAACTGGATGGCTCAAGGGATTGGTAATTAGATTTTGAGTCTGACTCACCACTGTCCTGTGCCTTGTGTTGTCTCTTACATCTATGCAAAGGGGGATTCTGATTTACTTGTCTCACATGTATTTTGCACAGGTGTAACTTACATCTGTGCAAAGGGGGATTCTGATTTACTTGTGTCTCACATGTATTTTGCACAGGTGTAAATTTGTACACAAGGAGTAAGACAGTTGAGAATCAGACCCATAATCTCTTATTGGTAGGAAATGGGTTTGAACCCATCAAGTCAGTATTGTCTGCATGGTTATTCAGTGGGCCCTAAAGGTAAGTTGAGCGGTCTCAGTTGAGGTCCCAATGGATAAATGTCCACATTGTGAAATAATTTTGTTAGTCTGGGAATTCCAGCCGAGGAGCCAAGGACTGAATAGACTGAACCTCACACAACCTTATAATAGATCCTGCCAATTTCACAATGGAGGGCTGCTGATGGGGCAATTGTAGAGAAGTTTGTGCTGCCAATGAACCTGTTCTACACAGAGGTAATAATTAGTAGCATTAACTTAATAAATCTTCATTTTAAAGTATTTACCAAAATACACCAACACGATATGTGTGAAAAGACAGTCATATAGGTAAAGAGTTAATGAAGGCATGCATCTTGAAATGGGTATCCTTTAAAGCCCTTAAGGTGAAGGACCATTAATTGTCTCACAAAACAAGTTGTTCTGTTGTGCACCCTTGACTTCATATGTTCGGTGAAAATCTAAAATGACCTCAGTAAAATTTATTTCTGGTTGCAGTACCACAATACAGCTAATGTGGCATTATGGCAGCTGGAGCGAGTTCAAGCCTAATTTCCCTCCTAGGAATAAATGGGTGTGAAATTCAGGGACCTCTTGTAGATAGGTGTGTGTGCCCATATGTAATCTTTGTATAGGTTGAACCTCTCTAGTCTGGTACCCTCAGGACCTGACTGATGCTGAAGCAGAGAATTTGCCGAATCACAGGAGGACAGTACTGTCTAGCAGCATTACAATTCTTTCACTGCTTACTGGGTTCTTAGAAAAAACAGTGAATAGTCCTGTAGCACCTTAGAGTCAGACTGACTACATATATAATAAGCTTCCATGGAAAAAAAAAGGGGAACCTCCAAATGTATAAGAGAAAATGGAGGTTCCTCCTTTTTTCTCCACTCATCTGAAGAAGTGGTTTTTTTTGCCCATGAAAGCGCATGATTCTCTCTCTCTCTCTTTTTCATATATATGAATTTGTTAGTGTCTTAAGGTGCTACAGGATTACTCATTTTTTAAAGTTGCAGACTAACATGGCTACCCCTCTGGATTCCTAGAAGACATTTAGGGATAAATCAGAGCTAAATAAAAACACAGAACATGGAGAGTCAGGACTGATGGCTATAAACAAACTTTAAGGGACAACAGGAAGGCTGGCCACACTGATAAGTGGACATCCTGCTAACTAAAATCATGTTGGACCATGGATGTTGGTGGACCAGAGAATGCGGGACTAGAAAGGTTTGACCTGTGACAATGACATAGTCCGGTAAGGTGTTGATTTGAATCCATTCCTACCGATTTGAATGGGAGTTGTAGGTGCTGAGTACCTTGCCAGAGAAGATCCAGGTCTATTACTTATTTTACAAGTTGCACCCCCTGCATATCTGAATTGAGAGCTAAGACCTTATCCTCAAAGGTGCTTGCTTGTTTTCTGGATTTAACCATTATAATGTTCCATTATATTTGTTTAGCCAGAGTGACTTAGAAAGTGAAAACTCTTGTTTTTTTCTGGGGGAATCGCGTGCGTGTGTGTGTGTACGTGTACACACACACAAATCTGGACATTCTTTCCTTCCATTAGTTATTACTCTAAAATCAAGAAATATAGGCTGTAAAAGATGAGTGAATGCATGCCACATGCAGGAGAATAATGCAGCAGATGACCAGTCACTGGTTGAATTAGGGTTTACTGTGGAGGACGTACAGAGCTAGCCAGCTGATCAACACATATCAAATCAGCAGTCACAAAAAAGGGGTGGGGAATTATTATTACCTTTTTTTAAATCAAAGGTGAAAATTTAGAACTGGTATGGGCTGAATGAGCTTGCCATTATGGGAGTTGGCAATCTCATCTAGGATTCAAGTATCAGAGGGGTAGCCGTGTTAGTCTGAATCTGCAAAAGCGGCGAGGAGTCCTGTGGCACTTTATAGATTAACCGAAGTGTTAAAGCATAAGCTTTCGTGGGCAAAGACCCACTTCGTCAGATGCATCTTTTTTAAAGTTGCAGACTAACATGGCTACCCCTCTGGATAGTTGCAGACTAACATGGCTACCCCTGTGGATGCATCTGACGAAGTGGGTCTTTGCCCGTGAAAGCTTATGCTCCAACACTTCGGTTAATCTATAAAGTGCCACAGGACTCCTCGCCGCTCATCTAGGATTGTCCATTCTGAGTATGAATTGTTACATGAAGTCACCTAGAGATCAAATAACCTATCTACAGGTCATATGTTGCTCTTACAGATTGATCTCTTACATAATTTGGGCAGATTATCAAAAATAAAGGATTTTGGAATATTGCTTACAGCTCAGGACCCTTGTTCAATTCAATGTAATGTATTTTGTCCTCCCCTTCTTTGCAAAATATTGGTTTTGTTGGTGGGATGATTTCCTTCTCCCCATACAAATACTACCCATACATTCATTATTTTACCATGAAGTTCTCAGGGGCTGACCCACGTTAGTAGACAGCCACTCTTGTAACACCTGGCCAAATAGGAAAAACAGATGTGCAACCTCCTCAGAGAAAAAGAAGTAAAGCTATGTGATTGTGTGAGAACTTCAGGCCCTTTAATCAAAACTTTCCTACACAGAGCTGGTATAGCAAACTAATTCATTCTATATTTATGCCAGGCCTATCATTAGATTAGATCATTACTTTTTTCCCTCCTGGATGCAGCAAATCTTGCTTCTATCGTGGGATCAGTCCTATCCCAATAAAGGCAATAACCAACCCCATCGACTTGAAAGGGAGTAAGATCTTAGAACCATAGAGCTGGAAGAGACCTCAGAAGGTCATCAAGTCCAGCACCCTACTCTAGGCAGGACCAATCCCAACTAAATCAACCCGGCCAGGGCTTTGTCAAGCTGAGACTTAAACACCTTTAGGGATGGAGACTCCTCTAGTGTCTCTAAGATCTGAGCCTGTAGAGTTAAGAGGTCAAATCTGCCCATCGTGTAACTCATTGAAGTAATCTTCTAGACTCGGGCCTCCTTTAAATCCACCTTCCCACATCTTTCCAATTTGCATGAATTATTAACTAATACTTGACTTCTTATTAATAAATGTAGCAGCATCTCCATTTTACTTGTAAATAAAATGCAGGCTAGAGAGGTCAAGTGACTTACTTAAAACCTGCAGTAGGACTCAGGGGCAGGCTTAGAAGGGATGGAAAGAAGACTTGGTTCTTGGGCCTTTGCTGTCTAACTAGTCAACAACAATGACACATTCATTGGAAAAGCAAAAGGTGAGATAAATGCAGTTCCCAGGAAGGAGACTAGCCGTGGCCTAGTGACTCCCCCATGCTTTAGAACACCAGCCTATGGCACCTTGTTAAATCAAGAACATTTCAAAACATCCATTGTCATTTTTTCTCCATTCTAATTGTAGATGAAGTGGAAAGGAAAGGACTTGTTCGACTTGGTGTGCCGAGCACTGGGGCTAAGGGAAACTTGGTTCTTTGGCTTGCAATACACAATAAAAGGAATGTCCACCTGGTTAAAGATGGATAAAAAGGTATTGAAAACATTTAGTCTGTAAAAACAGCAGACTAATCTGCCAACCTCCTTTCAGCTAGGTTACTCCTATGGGAGCTATTACTTCATCTCCATAAGTAAAGGCTCATATGTTTAGTGATGACCTGTGATTTCTAGGTTTTTTTTTTTTAAGGCCAGAAGGGACCATTATGATTGTCTAGTCTGTTGTGCTGCATAAAATAAGCCATAGGATTTCACCTGCGTAATGGTGATAGTTAAATTTAGACTGAGCAGTGTCCTTCCTGCTCAAATTTGAAAGGCTTGCTTTGGCTCAAATGTGGGCTGCTTTCTCCTGATGCCTGCAATTGTGTTCTCAGGCATTTCTGCCTCATTTTCATGGCTGCTTCTACTAATGCTTATTTTTAAATAGGTTTTGGATCAAGAAATCCCCAAAGAAGACCCTGTTAGCTTTCGGTTTTTGGCTAAATTTTATCCAGAGAAAGTGGAGGAGGAGCTATTACAGGAAATTACCCAGCACCTATTCTTCTTGCAGGTCAGGAGGCAGCTTTATCTATTAACTTTTGCTCTGTTCATCCCATCCTTTTTCATGATTTGTTTTCTCTTTGTCCTTGTCTGTAGTTCAGTCCTCAGTGGGATGTTGCCTATAGCAGGCAAGATGCAGTGTCTCAGTGGGGTATCCTAGCTGGAATCAATAACAATCATCTCTTTACCTGGTGGGGACTCACTGTACTAGACTGGATTAGGGATGTTAAATATCTGTTAATTGAATACTTGAGTAACCTCATGAATTCTTATCAGTTACTTGACTATTCTGTATTACCCAGGGACGAGGCCGGAAGCCAGTGCGCTCTGTCCCCACTCCCAAAGAGCCCCCTGCCACTCCGTGCTGCTGCCTCTGTATCAGGGTGCCAGGTGGGAGCTGGTCCAGAAAGGGAGCCAGTTTTAAAAACCAGCTCCCTTCGCGGACTGGCTGCCTGTTGCCCCATGCTACTACTTCTGATACAGAGGTAGCAGGTGGGGTGACTGCAGCCCCTGTCTGGGGGGTGGGGGTCTGACCTCCCAAACCCAGCGTGAGCTGGAACTCAGCCAGGGTGCTTGACCATCTAGCTCCTAATACACTTTAAATGCAGACCTGCTGCAGGGGTAGGTCCCAGACCCATCGCAAGCCAGGACTGAGCCGGGTTGCTGGCCAGGCTGCTAAAAGATTTCCTGGTGGGGGGTGGGGAGAGGAAAATTCATGTAGTCTGTAGCATTAACCGATAAGCTTTTGCTTATCGGTTAATTGTTTACTCGACTACACTATTACATCCCTAGATTGGCTCTAGGCATTGTTTGGGTTGCATCAACTCTGGGTGTCCTGGTTGCTTGTGATGCTGTGTCCCTATTAGAGGTGGTCTTACAGCTGCTGGGACCTACACTGCAGAATGTGACTCAAGCACTCAGTGATTTGGGTGTTGTTTCCACGTGAACATAAACTGGGTATTTCAAGGTTAGGCCAACATTATGAACTAGCTGCTGTGTGTGAGGAAGGACGAGAGGGAGGAAGAAACGCAGCAAAACCAGGAAATATGAACTGTAAACAGCTACATGAGACTTTTAAGACCCTTCAGTTCTTTGGTCAGTAAATCTTCTGAGTCCCAGGGTTGTCAATTGTTTTGAAGGAAAGTCCAGACCACTTTAGCAAATAAGTGTGCATCCATACAGATGGCTGAGCTGGAATCCTTCCCTAGCCTGGAACAGAGAAGCCATGTTGTCATGTTACAGCTGTTATAATAGCCCTTCTTATACACCATGGATGGAGGCTCTGGCCAATTGTTCATGGAACCACTGCCCATTCCTTCGCCTACCCCAGCCCAACTTTTCTGTTAACATGTACAGAGCCACTACAGAGCTCTCATCTGTACTTCTGAACAGATCATTTCCTCTTTGTAGCAGGACCATGGCAGTTCTGCTTGTTGGAATTTTGGTGTCTGTGCAAAGGAGGCTGGGGGGATGGAGTACTATTGTTTCTACGCTGTATGATTTGTAATATAGAAACACAGCAGATATATGTGTTTTCTGGCTAGTATTTATGTGGTAAGTAGTGGGACAAATGCCGTTGTTCCAAGGGTTAATGTACTAACTGGAACTGTTATTCCATTTGGATTCTTTCTAACCACTCGACAATGGGTTTCTTGAGCCATTTTGGAAAGAAATGACAGAACAAAAACTCTCCTCCTTGTCTTTCTGTTAATCCTCATTTTACTTTCCCCCCCGTTCCTCTTGAACCTGCCTTGACTGGCTTTGACTTTGAGATATGTAATTAGTGAAATTCTTCTCATTCCAAAGTAGAAAAACATGATAAAAAAACAAATTTGAACTTGCAAAGCTTCCTGACAACAAGAATTTAAGATTACACCTGGATAATAGGAAAAACATGTACAGACAATTGCATGCCTCCAGATTTCAGCTTTCTAGACTATTGAAATGTCTAAATATTAATGTGGCATAATAGCATTTTACCATATGTGTGACTAAAACTACATGACTAAAACCTTTTATAACTTTCTCTGTTCATTAGAGAACAGTTATCTGCTGTCAAAAGAAGTATAACAATTATTGTTTGTAATATTTAATTTTAAAATCTCAAAGACATCTATATAGAATTTGTCCAAGGTAATTTTCAGGTGTGAAAGATGTGATTTATATCATGGAGCATGAAAGTTACAGTTTTCTGATTTGGAAGAGAAACCTTTTCATTCTTTCCACGTTAGCAACTTAGAAATGAGTTTTCCTGCTTTTACAAATGAACAGGTTGTGCTCACCAAAGGTTTAATGTTTTTATAATAAAACCCCTTCCTTGATGTCTTTATTTCAGTTCACAGAATCTGCTATCCCAGTAAGGATAACAACTGGGTTATCTCAGGTCATTTTTGCGTCCATTTTGGAAGTGTTTAATGCTATAAATCCTCAAGATTTATTTCTGTTTCTAGGTTAAACTCATTTGCATGTGAGAATGTGATTTGTGAATATCATGTTGCACTTTCCTTTAAATTATTGGGCAAAAACAAACAACTCCCCTTGCATTAGTACCCGTGTTAGTAATATCAGTTCAGATTACTAAAGTGGAAAGAATTTTAAAATATCTAACTTTTCACCGATGTATGTTACCCCCCCAAAACTTCTTCACTTTGCTCTGCAGAATTGTACTAAATTGAGAATATTTTTGTTTTTCATTTGAGAACATTTCTATTACCTTTACATTTTGCAAAGCTGCTTGAAAGTCAAATTTAAACATTTGGCCTAAGGTACCTGCTAGGGATGTTAAGGACTAGTCTCCTCTATCTCATAGAGGCAGCAAAGGTTGGGGGGGAGGTGGTGTTTCAAAGGGACTGCTGCTGCACAGCTGATGTGTGGCACTGCCCCTTTAAAATGCTGAAGTGATGTGGAGCTCAGGATCAGCTGAGGACTCCCTAGCTACCCCCTGGATTCCGTGCAGCATTTCCCCAGAATCCTGGGCTCCCCACGGCATGCAGCGCAGAATGGAGCCCAGGGTTAGTGGGGAACTTAGAGTCCCCCACTGACTCTGGGCTCCATGGCTTTGAAATGCACACGAGCCCCTGCTGGGGACTCTTGTACATTTCAAAGCAGGCACCCGTGTGCAGCCCTGACGAGGGACTTCCCGCTGGCCCGGGGCTGTAAGCAGAGTTCTTCATTCCTCCTTTGAAATGTACAAGAGCCCCAGTGGGATGCGGAAGTGCCTATTGACTACTTGACTAGTCAATTCACCGCATTTTAATATCCCTAGTACCTTCTAGTGCTTTTTAGATACATTGGGCCAGTTCCCTGCTGGTGCAAATCCAGGTGGGTCTTCTGAAGACAATGGCATTGTTATGCTGATTTACAGTTGCTGGCACTGGCTCACTTCTTTTAAATGGTAAAAGCAAGATTGGTTATAGCTTCTCTCCTGGTGATAGATGGAGTGGTGATTCATTCTGCATATACGAATGTGGTATAATGAGTAAACCTGATGAGTCCATATTTACAGTAATGAAAACTTCTCCCTTTCATTTGTCTCACCCTTATGGAAAAACCCTGCTTTCACCACTTTGAAAGTTAAGACTTTGTGGTGACAAGCAAACAGACCATTGAGTTTTCTTACTACTGTTAAAATGTTTCTTCAGTTTTAACTCTTACTTCTGAGGCATCATTTTTCATTTACATTCAGGCAGCTTTACACTGCTCTGGAAGCGTAGAGGTGCCTGAAAATGGAGATCTGTTAATGGTGCTGGAGTGGTATAAAACAGTCTTAGTATACTGAAGAATTGGGCCCTTCATTTCCAGTTGAACACGTGTTTTCCAGGCAAATGTTGTATCTCAGTAATTCTCAGATGATCTCTGATAATATTTTGCTCTTGTAAAGCACCTTTAATGTGAAGTCCTTTATGAACATCAAATTTAAATGGACTGTAAGGTAGACACACATTTTTTTTCTTTTCACACACACACAAAAATAACACTGCATTAAAATGCAATGAAGGCTAGAGGTGTCTATTAGTGGTTTGGATACATTTCAATAACATTTGTATTAAGACAAATTTCAAATTTTAGAAAACCAGGACAAATCCGAGAAGATGAAACTCACAAGAAAGCTAAAGTTTGGCAGCATGGAATTTTGGTTAAAGTAGCCAGAGTATCATAGAATCATATACTACTAGAACTGGAAGGGACCTTGAGAGATCATCAAGTTCAGTCCCCTGCTCTCACAGCAGGATGAAGCACCATCTAGGTCATGCCTGATAGATGTCTATCTAACCCGCTCTTAAATATTTTCAGAGATGGAGATTCCACAACCTCCCTAGACAATTTAATCCAGTGTTTAACCACTCTGACAGTTAGAAAGTTTTCCCTAATGTCCAACCTAAACCTCCCTTGCTGCAGTTTAAGCCCATTGCTTCTTGTCCTGTCATCAGAGGCCAAGGAGAACAATTCCCCCCCCTCCCCCCAACACCCTTTTAGGTACCTGAAAACTTCTATCATGTCCCCTCTGTCTTCTCTTTTCTAAACTAAACAGGCCCAGTTCCTCAGACTTGCCTCATAGCTTATGTTTTCTAGACCTTTAATCATTTTTATTGCTCTTCTCTGGACCATCTCCAATTTCTCCACATCTTTCTTGAAACGTGATGCCCAGAACTGAACACAATACTCCAACTGAGGCCTAATCAGTGGAGAGTAGAGCGGAAGAATGACTTCTCCTGTCTTGTTCGCCATACTCCTATTAATTGATCCCAAAATCATGTTTGCTTTTTTTTTTTTGCAACAGCATCACACTGTTGACTCCTATTTAGTTTGTGGTCTACTTCCCATAGATTCTTTTGTGCAGTACTCCTTCCTAGACAGCCACTTCCTATTCTATGTGTGTGAAACTGATAGTTCCTTCCTAAGTGGAGTACTTTGCATTTGTCCTTATTAAACTTTATCCTATTTACCTCAGATCATTTCTCCAGTTTGTCCAGATCGTTTTGAATTAGGACCCTATCCTCCTAGCACTTGCAACCTCTCCCAGCTTGGTATCACCTGCAAACTTAAGTGTACTCTCTATGCCAATATCTAAATTGTTGATGAAGATATCGAACAGAACCAGTCCTTGTGGAGCCCCACTTGTTATGCCCTTCCAGTATTGAAAAAGTGTATTTGCAAGACAGGGAAGATAGCTAACTGGTATCTCTATAGGGATAGCTAAACTACCTTAATAGTGATTTCCATTGTGTTTCCTGTAAATTTAACCTTAGCTTTGAATATTCCATGTTTCTAAAGTATATATTTTTGTTTGTTGCATTATTATTATCTCATAACTATTAATTTCTGGTGCCAGGCTGTGGTGAGGGCTTGTTTAATTAATTTCGGGCTTAGTATATAAGTCCTGATTTTTCTAATTCTCTTTCATAACTTCATCTTCCTTTTCTACCTTTAGGTTAAGAAACAGATATTGGATGAAGAAATCTATTGCTCTCCAGAGGCTACAGTTTTATTGGCTTCTTATGCTGTTCAGGCTAAGGTTAGTGCACAAAATGCCTTTTCTTTTTATTAAAATTTTAGTGAACAACATTAAATAACACATACAATACTGATAGAAATGTAGCCGTGTTAGTCTGGGGTAGCTGAAGCAAAATGCAGGACAATGTAGCACTTTAAAGACTAACAAGATGGTTTAAAGTGCTACATTGTCCTGCATTTTGCTTCACATACAATACTGTTAAACTTTGCTGTGAAGAAAGCAGGTCAGCTAGGGACATGAAGGTGTTGCAGAAGGAGTTATATATAATTACTTGCCATCACGGGGAGAGAGACTTGCTTTCTATTTTATATTATGCTTTTAACAAGTTAGAGGGCTAAATTTAGATCCTGTTCTCTAGATTGTCCTGTTGCGCTAATAGGAAGAATGTGAGCAGACGAATACCTTGATCTGGAAAAATGTATATATAGTACTTTGGTATAAACTTATATTAAAATGGAAAATTACATCCTGGCTCTTTAATAGATGGCCCTGAATCCTGCAGGCGGCTGGATCCTATTGAAATCAATGGGAACTGACACTCAACATCTTAAAGTATGAGAGTATATGCTCACAGGGGACAAAACCGCCCTGTAACAGAAGGCCACATGAAGGGATGTAAAATCCCGTTTAATCAGTTAACTGGTTAAACTTTATCTTTATGTTTAAGTGCTTAAATGGGGTAGGGGTGTGTGTGGGAACAGTGGGGCTGCTCCGGCCAGGCTGTTGGTTAACCACAACTGGTAAGCATCATTCAGAAAGGGTGATGCTATCCCGTTAACCATTCACATCCCTAGTAGCCATATGTGGGGATGTGCACAGGAGGAATAGCTAAGCCAGCAAAGCCACCACTTCCCCAGTGGGCTCCTTGTTGGCTCTGAATCAGCTGAGGTGAAGGAGGATGTGGGCGGGTGGGACAGGGAAGGAGTCCCTGTAGCGGTACTTCAATGAATCCATGTGCTAGAACTTCTGCAAGGGGCTGTGGAGGGACTGGGCCTAGTATTTCAGTTCATTGGCTAGCTCGAGCCACGTGCTTTGGCCAGTGACTAATGTTAATTTTGTGCCCACACCCGACTGGGGAATGCTTACAAAGAGTTCGTTCACTTGGCCTGTATTTCCCTCCTGAGGCAGTGATTCTTGACCAAAGTTGTCCCACTACCAAATTCTTCAGCATTCTGCAGATACTAAACCAACTCTCTTGTCTTTTCCTGTGCCAGTATGGTGACTATGACCCAAATTTTCATGAGCCAGGCTTTCTAGCCCAAGATGAGCTGTTACCCAAGAGAGTAAGTATTTCCTATGTCTGAACATGAATATTTTTACCGGCACGAAGAAGCAAATATTTTTGTGGGGCTGGCTGGAACCTCAGGAATTCACGCTAGATGTGTGTTTGCTCTGGGATGGGCAAGGAGTCCCAGCTCTGAACTTTGTTGACATTTACACACTGTGTTGTTTGGGAGGGGCAGGTGGTAAACACCACTGGCTGCACACATTTTCATATGTTCAAAAGAAATCCAACTTCCTTCCTTGTTCTGTAGGTCCTCCGGCAATATCAGATGACAGCAGACATGTGGGAAGAAAAGATATCCGCTTGGTATGCAGAGCACCGGGGTATTGCCAGGTATTATAACATCTCTTGGGAGAGCTGAGACATATCAGCACAACCCCACTTGTCTTCAGTCAGCAGATAGGTATCTGACTCCCATTTATGTTGGTTTTTTCAGTCTTGTTTCCCTAATAGGACCATTTATTGCTGAAGGGGAAAAATACAGAATTTTGGTACTGACATCCTGCTCAGACCAGGTGCTGAGCAACTGAGATAGACTAAGTGCCTGTGGCTTATACTGAAACCAAAGGAGGGGTTGAGGCCTTGCGGAGGAATGAAGCTAGAGAGAATGAACCTCCTATATCTCATACCTATTTAGGGAAATCGCAGAGATGTTGCAGAGGAATGAGTATTCTTAGCTAGGAATCAAAATAGAGAGGGAGTGAAATCCACTTGGGCAAGAACCACAGGATTTGTCTTGGTGCTGTTCATTGTCGATCTCCAAGGGCTCTTACAACTAATAGCAATGTACTCAGCATGTCTGGCAGTAAAATAAAACTTGATACGAGTTTTAGGCATCCAACGTTGATCTAGCCCATGTTGTTTATTTAGCTGCCCTGGATGCACATTAGCATCCTGTCCTTGAAAGGCATGACGGTGATGTTGATCAGTGGCTGAAGAAGTGCCTTGTTAGTTAAAGGGCAGCTTCTGTGTATCTTTTGGACTTCAGCTTAAAATATTGTTTGGAGCCTCTTATAGCGATACTTCCCCTGAGGAGGAACTCCTGTGTCCTGGAAAACCATGTTCGAGTAGGTCTCTAGCCAGTGGCATCTGGTAACATCTGAAAGAGGCAAAACTGACACACTAGGATGAGCTCAGAGCCAGTTACTAACGATGGGTAAAGGTTATGTTCTATAAGACTCAAACAGCGTTGGTAAAGCTTTACTCTGTTCATATGGAGTAGACTGTGCTGGTTATGCTGTCAGCAGTAGATCGTGCCCTTGACTGTGTGGATCTTAAAAGCTGTACAGCAAAACTTATGCGCAAACAAACCAAATTACAAAGGAGCAAAAAATCGACATGGTTAGGCTCATACACTTCAAACAACAGTAATGTAAAATGAGAGAAGAGGAAAATGGTTGAAATTTACTTGGATCGCCAAATGTAATCACTATTGTGCCTTTTAGGGATGAAGCGGAGATGAACTATTTGAAAATTGCACAGGACTTGGAGATGTATGGTGTCAATTATTTTCCTATTGCTGTAAGTGTATCATATTAAGCTGTATTTGTAGTTGCGATAGATTAATTAATTCTAAATCTTCAATGCAGTTAGTGCCAGAGTTTCCTGGTATTGGAGCAGGGGACTTAGAATTAGGATTCACATCAGTTTTGCTATTGATTGGGCCATGTGGCCGTGGACACTGCTTACTTGTCTGAAAGATAAATACACAAGGTTCCTGTTGAATAGAACTGTTAGGCTTAATTACTGAACATCTGTAAAAGGTCTTTGATATCACCATGTGGTAGTTCCCTAGGGAGGTCAAGCATCTATGACAGTGTTTCTCAACTGGTGATACGAGTACCCTTACGGGTACTTGAGGGAAGTTGGGGGGGGGGTACGTCAACACAACTAAAATTTGGAGAAAACTGAATTTTTGTTTCAAGTTTTACAGCGCTTTATTATTTTTGTACTTTTTGCACCCAGAAATCATCGCCCGCACTGCTATGATTAAGTTATTTAAACAAATGTGTTGCAATGGTAGAAAAAAAAGTTGTGTGTATGAAAACTGTAGGTACTGGGGGTACTTATAATTTTTTTTTAAAAGAGTGCTTTATAAAAAAAGGTTGAGACACACTTATCTATGGTACTGAGAATGGGATCTCTGGATCTAAAGCGATGAGTTTGTGCTGACTAAGCTAAAGGACCAGGCCTGTTAGCTAGAGGTGGTGGAAAACTCTTTTATATGGTGGAGACAGTAGCCCTGAAAATATACCAATAAATGGCTTTGAATAAACAAGTGACTGGACTGTGGTTATACATGTCACCCAAAATGGTGTTAGATCATCATTTTTTGTATTCCTTTGCAGCAGAATAAAAACGACACAGATCTTCTACTTGGAGTTGATGCTAAAGGTATTCACGTCTACAGCAGAAATAACAGGCTATCTCCAAACAAGTCTTTTGAATGGAGTGGTATCAGAAACATTTCCTATAGTGAGAAAGAGGTAGGATGGCTCTAACTTATTACTCTCTTTGCAGTTGTGCGTGCACACCCAGGGATTCCTGTAGTGGATTGGAAGCAGTCTGTCTATCTGAACAACTGAAAAAATGTGGGGATGGGGGCTCTGTAATAAAACTCAGACTCATGGGCCTGATTTCCCTCTCCGGCGGTGCTGAGTACCTGCAGCACCCATTGGCTTCAAAGGGAGCCCCTCTGGAAACTGAGCACATCTGATGGCTCTTTGACCTGTGAAAATTAGTAGTTTGTGTTTGTGTGGGTCTCCCTGGCAGCAGGGTGGCCTAGTGGTTAGGTCCCAGAATTAGCCAGCAGAAAAGGGGCACAGAACCCTGCCACTGGTGTCTCTAGCCCACTATATTAGCATGGCCCTTAAGTTTGGGGCATGGCCCCGAGAGTCCATATTTCCCCCCCTTAATCAAGGTTTCTAGCGAGTTCCCCTCTTTGTCCCAGAGGGAGGGGTTGGAGGCTTACTTGCTCCCGTGGCTGGCCAAGTGGAGACTGTGGAACCACACTCTCTTATCTCCTTGCTGGTCAGCCCCTAATTGAGCCAGGCTCCTTCCTTTTATCCTCCCTCCAGTCCTGGCATTGGCTACAGGTATAGCGGGACAGGGCCAGCAGGCCCTGTAACCCCTGTGATGCCAGGCCCTCCTCTCTTCACTCCCTCATACGTCTCCCCTCATGTTTCCTATTGGAGTTGCCCTCCCTCTATCTGCGTTCAAGTCTGCATTTACATGCGCCCTCTTGATCTGGTGTTGTACCCGGAAGGAAGCGGTTGGAGGGAGAGTTACCACTGCATGATTCTGGGGTTTCTGTCCTTCATTGCATGTAGCCACCAAAGAGGGGTGTGGTCTGTGATGAGGGTAAAGTGTCTGCCCCGTAGGTAATAGAGAAGTGAGTTCACTGTCCATTTCACTGCTAGCGCCACCTTGTGTCATAAGAGTTCAATTGGATGAAAAGAGATTACAGACCATCCTTCACAGAAAGAAGTGGGGAGGGTGGAGAGAAACCTGAAATATTCCCAGCGGGTTATTGTTAACCCGCATCCCCAGGCAGGGGCGGATATACGGCAGGGCGAGCGGGGCAGCCGCCCCGGACCCCGTGCTTCAAAAAGCCCCGCGCATGTGCTGTGGCAAAGGGGGGCCCCGCAAGATTATGCTGGGCCCTGCAAAACGGTCATCTGCCCCTGTCCCCAGGGTTAACAATAAAAGCAGAGCATGGTCTGTTCCTTTCTTTTCAACATGTCCTTTCAAATTGGGGTCCAGATTCTGCTCTGGTTCAAATCTAGAGTCAGAGGTGCGCATATATTAACACAATCACTGTCTTCTATTACTCAAATACAGCCTTGCTTTGCTCAAGGTGTTCAAATGACTTTCTCTCCAGAGTGAAATGAGCTATAAACAAGTTACTTATGATCTCAGTGAAATCGTATCTGAAATCAGATGATAGGCACAGAGATTATGCAACATAATGCAAATGAGCGAATTGGAATAAAGTGCTAATTCATGAGTCATGGCAAAGGTGAGGATCTAAAAGAAGGCAACTGCTTTTATTGTGCTGTCGAGTTGAATACAACATAGGAAGTGAAAGACTCGGTACTGGCTTCTTTGCAATGTAGCTCTTTTCCCACTTACTCCTCAGCAATCAGTTTGGGAGATGGACTCTGAATAAGGAAAAGCAAAATTTCATTAATGGGTTCTGATGCCCAGAGGTTTATCCTTCAGGCCCGTTGTGGGGTATTTCCCTTTTATTTGTTTTATAACCAGAGTGGTACTGGATACTTCCACTTGGGGAGGCAGTAGCTTCCCAGCCTATGCCCCACGCCCTTTCACTGTCTCCCTGCTCTCTTCCCTGCACACTTGTGTCCTTGCTTTCTGCCTGCTTGTCCCCTTCCAGTTAAATCCCTGAACTCAAGCACATTATTTTTGAAAAAACCCTACACTTTTCTGCAATTTCTCTCTCAACAAAATGGAGCATGTTTTGCACTTTGTGCCAGATATGCAGAAGGTACCTAATTAACAACACTACATTTGGGAATAAGAAATGTCAGTCACAGGTTTATTAGATACCCCCATAGCTGACACATAGTAATAGAGAGGTAGCAGTGTTAGTCTGATCTTGGTAAAACAAAAGGAAAATATATGTAGCACTTTAGAGACTAACAAGATAGTTTATTAGGTGATGAGCTTTCGTGGGCCAGACCCACTTCTTCAAATTATATCTGAAACCGACATATAGGCAGCTTGCAAATGCCCTGAACTCTTCTAATTGATCCTGGGGAACACAGAATGGCAAGCCCCAGTTAAGACTAATTGAGAACACTCTCTCCTTTCTTCACACAATCAAACAAGGCATTTGCCCCCTGACTGAAAGAAAATGACTAGAATCAGACTGCAAAAGTTGCCACGTCATTTTCACTTCTTCACACAAATAAGTTGAGGGCTTCCTATGTTGATTGTTTTAACAGCAGTAAGCACTTTGGACAAGGAATAAGAATTGCCAAGAGACGTGCCAGTAAAATAGAAGCTGGCTGCTGCTTTAACGATACCCATTCAGCTCCCAGAACCAAGAAAGTAAAATGTCCCACTGAGGCAGTGTGATGGTGACAGCTTTATGCATCAGACTGGCAGACCCAATATCCCCTGGGGTGAAGGAACCAAATCCCCAGCCCTGATCTCACCAGGCGAATGTCCTCTCCCAACCATTGTAAAGAGCTGAGACCAAAAAGAGTTGGGACCTACAGGAGGCCCCCGACTTGCAACCACCCAAGTTCTGACCCTCCACACTTACAACCATTTTTGTAAGTGCGGAAGGGGCCAACCCCCCCCCCCCCCGGCCACCAATGACCTCAGGTTCCTCCATTTACGTCCAATCAGCCCCATTCGTTTCATGGCATTTGCAGCAGCATACGTGAAAGCAGAATCTGTCCTGCACTGCACTGCTGTTTACACAGAGGGAAAGAAATGGACTACAGGAGGCCCCCGAGATGCGACTGCCCAGGTTCCGACCCTCCGCACTTACGACCATTTTTGCAAAGTGTGGAAGGGGCTGGAAACCCCCAACTTGTGTCCTCAACCCGCATTGATGATAGCGCAGGGTGCCTATTCGAGTTACAGCGCCCCCGACTTGCGACACTTCCCCTGGAACCAATCGCGTCGCAAGTCGGGGGCCTCCTGTATCCTGCCAATAACGTCTCTCTTCTTGCCACCACGTCCCTCCTCCCTGTGCCCTCCCATTTTCTTCCCTCCACACCTCTTTCTCCTCAGGCGCCCACTGCTCAAGATCACTGCTCTCCCCAACCAAGCGCTCCCCCTGCCCTGACCATCACAGAATTTGAACAAGTTTAAAAAAAAAAGAAGTCAAAATTGCCCCAGCTCAGGGAAAGCTCTGAAGGGCTCCTCTGGCCCGGGGGGAGGGGGATCCATTCCTCCTGGCCATTTATTGTTCTGCCCAGTTCCACTTAGCAAGCCAGCGCAGGATACCTGCTGCCACAAATGATCCAGCCCTCCCTGCAGCGCGAACACAGCATAAGGCTGGCTGGCTGCCTGCATCTTTGAGCAGCCCTTTGAAAAGTGGTAATGGGGGAGGCTGGGTGGAGCCTTGCTCTCACCACCCCTGCCTCTTCAGCCATATTGCTCCAGCATCACACAGTGGAGGAGTCGTCACCCCCTAAAGTCCCAAACTGAAATTTGCCTGCAATCCAGGAGCAGAGGCTACGGCTGGAATAATGCAGAAAGATTTTGAAATTGTAAAAAACACTTTGCAAAATTGCCCTTCTCGGCACTTTCCATCTGATGACAACCAAACACCCAGCTAAATCCACTGAATTTACACAAACTCCTGTGAGGCAGGCAAGTATTATTATCCCTTTTTCAGATGGAGAAACTGAGGCAGGGGATAATTAAGTTTCCTGTCTGCTGTTTTTTTAAAATCAGTGGAAAAACTCCCCTTGAGACCAAGCCTAAAGTGAAGGGTCCAATGTCACACGGGAAGTCTGTGACAAGAAGGCCATTAAGAAACCCCCTCATCTTCACATTTCTAGCAGAGGGGAGCACAGGCCACTGGCTGCATTGAGGTGGGGAGATCACCCTGAAACCCCAGCCTCCCCCAGTACAGGAATTTGGCAGTGAGGTTGCACCTGACCGTCACACAATGTAAGAGCTGGCCCTGCCCGTCTTTGCCAGCCATACCAGGTGTGGCTGGGCAGGCTCAGTCCAACACGAGCCAAATGTGGAGGAGTTATAGTGGGGGGATGCGGGTGTGGGGAGCTCCGTGGGAGATCTGGATGTGCAGGGTCTTGGTGGGGGGTTCTGGGGTAGGGGCAATGGGGCTCTGGCTGAGCTCAGTGGAGGAGTTGGGGGGAGGTGGAGCTTGGGGTGGGGTCCAGGTGCTGGGGAAGTGGGACTTCATAGGATGGGAGGTCCAGGTGCAGCATGCTGGGGCTCAGTAGGGTGGGGGTCTGGGTGTGGGGAGCTTATTGGAGGAGTCCAGGTTTAGGGGAGCAGGGCTTGTGAGGGTTAGATGGGCCTGCTTCCCAGCACCTGGACCCCACCCCACTTCATGCTGGACTCCCACTGCCCCCAGTCCCTCCCGATTCCTCATCCCCTTTTATTCCCCTCATTCTCCACTGCCTCACCCCCACTTCTCTCATCCCCTCCCCCAGCTGCACTGCTGGGCAGAGAAAACAGGAAGCCTGTGGGGAGAGGGCAGGAAGGGGAGGGGACTGGGCAACTATCCAGGCAACAACCCCCCCCCCCACACACTAGCAAGGGGTGGGACTATGGGGAGCACGTGTAGGGCTGGGAAAGTGAAACCAAACCCACCACCTCGCCACACACTAGCAAAGGGGGGGAGCCAACCCAGCAGGGAGGCAGAGGAGGAGCAGGGGGGCAGCAAGGAGGAAGCCCACTTTGCCCACCGTAGGCCAAGGTGCAGGAAGGGGTGGGGGACTGGATGGGGTGAGGGGCTGAGCAGGAGCAGAAACCAGCAAACAGAGGCCACAGCAGCAGGGACACAGGGAGCTGGGTGGGGTGGTCTGCGGAGCACGGCTGGCAATCTCCTACAACCAGAGAACCCACGTGACTATGATTCGATCCTAGTGTCTGTTCCATGCCGGCTGCTGAGGGGGCTCCCTGCTGCTCTGCCCTCCCAGCTGCCCTGGAACCTGCCTGGACCCCGCTAAACATTCCACAGCAGCCCCATGCAGCAGTTGGAGGCAAGAAGGGGCCAGCACTGCCCTTCGCTGGCAGCTTCAGCTTCTAAAATCCCTCAGCAATCTGACCATAGAACTGGGAACCAAGAACTCTTGTTGCCAGATCCCAGATCTGGCTCTGGTTCTTTCTGAGGTCTCAACGAGGATTCATTAAATCTTGTCTCGGTTTTCTCTGTGCTGTAGATAATACTCCCTCAGGGGTGTGGGTTTGGTGTTGTCTTCTGTAGCAATAATATTCAATAGTTTCAGCTTTTTATTGACCTTGACATTTCTGTTCCCTTTCTTTTTCCAGCTAACTATTAAACCTCTTGATAAGAAAGCAGAAGTTTTCAAATTCTTTTCCTCACAGCTCAAAGTGAACAAACTGGTAAGTGGGCAGCTGCTCTCTGTAGTAGCAATGTCAGATTGAGAGAACTTATTCTCAAAATGGCCACCATGCTCATTGTGTTATGACTGTTGGTACTTAAGAGGCCTGGAGCTATGATAAAAAATAGCATTGCAGTGATTTGGTAACATAAGAACGGCCGTACTGGGTCAGACCAAAGGTCCATCTAGCCCAGTGTCCTGTCTGCCGACAGTGGCCAGCACCAGGTGCCCCAGAGAGGGTGGACCGAAGACAATGATCAAGCGATTTGTCTCCTGCCATCCCTCTCCAGCCTCTGACAAACAGAGGCCCAGGACACCATTTTATCCCCTGGCTAATAGCCTTTTATGGACCTAATCTCCAGGAAATTATCTCGCTTCTCTTTAAAATCTATTATAGTCCTAGCCTTCACAGCCTCCTCTGGCAAGGAGTTCCACAGATTGACTACACGCTGTGTGAAGAAGAACTTTCTTTTATTAGTTTTAAAATATTAATACCATTTCATGGTAAAAATGAATGAGAGAAACCAACGTACCATATTGTTCTCTATGAGAACCCACCCAGGGACCAGGAAATATTGGTTGTCTGAACCTATGCTTTTTCCTCTACATTTTTCTCTGTGTGAATGGGTTTGCCCTCTTTATTTAGAATGGGTGTGGGAGGAGACTCGCCAGATGTGTGAGGAAACCATAGAGCCCCAAGGAAATCTTGCAGCTCTAAGGCTAAGGCATTGTAGGAAGCCATGATGCCCTCTTTGCTTCCTCATGAGTGGTGCTTCTGTGGATTCCCAGTCTTCTGTTCCTCTAGGAACAATAAGGAAATCCCATGATGCTGCTGACAAGGTTGGCATCGTATTTCCTTGAAATATCTACGGAACTGATGGATGAGGACACTACTTCAATCCTCTTCCTAGCTAACTTTTTCCACCTTGCACCCACAGAGGGTCTTCTGCAGGTGACCAGGGCATGCCTCTGCCTCTCTTCTCTCTAAAATGCCCCCACCCCATACTAGTTCCATTTACCTCTCTTTCACTGGCAGAAATAGAGAAGAAATTGATGCCAGAGAAGGTGATTGAATAAGGAGAGAGACTTGCAGTCTGCTCTGAATCTTTGTAAAGTATGTATTTGCTCACTAGAGATTTTCCCTACTTGGTTTGCTAGGCTGGAAACCTACAATCCTTAGTGCCAGTTTTATTAGGGCAAATTTTAATAATGTTTAATAAAGGACAGAGTTTACTAAGGACCAATGAAAAGTACTTCACTTAGGAAGGAAACAATCGGTTTCACACATACAGAATGGGAAGTGACTGTCTAGGAAGGAGCACTGCAGAAAGGGATCTAGGGGTCATAGTGGACCACAAGCTAACTATGAGTCAATAGTGTGACACTGTTGCAAAAAAAGCAAACATGACTCTGGGATGCATTAACAGGAGTGTTGTGAGCAAAACACGAGAAGTCATTCTTCCGCTCTACTCTGCGCTGGTTAGGCCTCAACTGGAGTATTGTGTCCAGTTCTGAAGAGATTGGAGAATGTCCAGAGAAGCGCAACAAGAATGATTAAAGGTCCTGAGAACATGAGCTACGAGGGAAGATTGAAAGAATTGGGCTTGTTTAGTTTGGAAAGGAGAAGATTGAGAGGGGACATGAGAGCAGTTTTCAGGTATCTAAAAGGGTGTCACAAGGAGGAGGGAGAAAAATTGTTCTCCTTGACCTCTGAGGATAGGACACGAAGCAATGGGCTTAAACTGCAGCAGGGGAGGTTTAGGTTAGACATTAGGGAAAACTTCCTAACTGTCAGGGTGGTTAAACACTGGAGTAAATTGCCCAGGGAGGTTGTGGAATCTCCATCTCTGGAGATATTTAAGAGCAGGTTAGATAGGCATCTATCAGGGATGAGCTAGATGGTGTTTGATCCTGCCATGAGGGCAGTGGACTAGACTGGATGCCTCTCAAGGTCCCTTCCAGTTCTAGCATTCTGTGATTCTGTGATTGGAGTCGGAGGAATTACTGGCTCCTGCTGGCTTTGACATAGCCCCCAAGAAGATGTGTTTGCATTCCTATGTGGTGCTCTTCACCCAGCTCACTGCAGCTCATGTATGTTGCAATTGCTTTTGCTTTTTGCAGATTTTGCAGCTGTGCATTGGAAACCATGACTTGTTCATGAGAAGGAGGAAAGTAGACTCCATCGAGATCCAGCAAATGAAAGCTCAGGCTAGGGAGGAGAAGGCTAGAAAAAAAGTAGGTTCCTTCTGCTCCTCATTGCTGAAAATATTTATTATTCCAAGTGGTCCGTTCTCTACATTATTCTTCACCTCACATGGTGTCACCACAAGCAGAGATGTGTGTGCGCTCTCAGTCCTATCTGTGTGGATGTGGGCGGAGGGGCTGAAAATAGGAGCTGCTGGGGAGGTGTGGGATTTTGGAGGATGTGTGTATGGGTGGCATCTGAGCACGGGCAGACGTGGGGCAAAAGGAGGAGTGACACAAGTGCTCCCTGCATGACAGCATTTTAAAATTACACAGCTCACCAATTGTTGGATTTAATACAGATGAGCTGCCCTGGCACCTAGCAAGATGCCTGAGAAATGGCAGATAGCTGCGCAGCCGCTGGACTGCTTTCAGGCCCCGAGAACTATTGACCCTGCTCTGCAGTCCCAGTCTCTGAGCTTCGCTCATTACCTTTCCAGATGGAAACTCAACGGCTGGCCCGGGAAAAGCAGCTCAGAGAAGAAGCAGAGCGAGCCAAAGAAGAGCTGGAAAGGCGCCTTTTCCAGCTGGAAGATGAAGCCAGGCAAGCCAATGAGGCACTGGTGAGCATTATTGTCGTCTGTGGAGGTCATCAGCCCTTGTGTGACATCAAAATTTATAAGCTCCTTAACTAGGGCGAGGAGGGTATGTCTACAATGCAGTTATAACATCTGCTGAGTCTCAGAGCCAGGTCAGTTGACTCTGGCTTGCAGGACTCCAGCTGCAGAACTGAACTTTGCAATGCAGACGTTTGGGCTCAGACTGGAACCTGGACTGGGCTAGAATCTTAGACTCTGGGCTTTGGCCCAGCTTCAAACATCCTCACTGCAGATTTTAGCTGTGCAGCCGGAGCTCTGTGAACTTGAGTCGGCTGACTCGGACCAGCCCTGGCAAAGCTGCAGGGCTTTTTTGGCAGTATAGATGTACCCAGAGGGTTATTGTTAAGGGAAAGA